ATGCCTGTTTGACACATCCCGCCGTGTTGGTGAGCGCCCGGGCGGCGTCGACAGCGTCTCGGGCCGAGTATGTGGTGTTTCCCTGGCGCCCCGACCTAGGTGACGTAGCTGAGCGGTGACGGCATGTGCAGGTGACGTAGGTGAGGGGTGACATGTGTAGGGCGCTGGCTGCGGGCTCCCTGTGGGTGGGGCTAGGCTGTGTCGGTGTCCATTGTTCGTGTCTAGTCCCTAACGCCGCGGGTGAGCGCTAGCCACAAAGGAGAAGGGCAGCCAAAGCGGGGTCACGTGTGCACAGCCCCCCCCCCCCCCCCCCCGGATCGCCGGGCGTGGAGGTCGAGGACCGGCTCGTGCAATGTGCAGGACCTCTGTGGCCGGTTTGCCTTGCGATAGTCGGTCCAGGATGTCGGTTGCAAAACACGGCTGGATTGGGGCTGGGATAGCGAAACGGGCGAATACGTAAGCGAACGTTGGCTGACGGATCCGGGGATAGAGTGATGGTGGGTGGAATTGGCCCACGGTATCTAATTATTTGGGTCTCCCTCCTGCGTCCACCCAGCCCACGGAAAGAGATGGGTCGCGCCTGCGTATGGATTGCTGTCCGCCCCTGTGAAGGGATGGGCCCGGCATTTAACCCTTAGTCTTCTTTGCGTATGCATGATGAGGGAGATCGTATATAGTTAATCATAGTGTATTATTATATCGATGTTTAGTTGGTTCGGACCTGATTATTTTCCAATTTAACCCATGAATCGCACAATAACCCAATGTTGCGCACAGGATGCAGCGTATAGCATACCATTGTACGCACAGGATATGTTAAACGGATGTCTTCCAAGTAGACATGGAACCTAGTGCATGCGATGAGAATTGCTCGCCTGATACATTTGTATGGTTCTGGTAAGCCGTGTTTGCAATTCATAACGTGCCATTTGAAGGTGCAAGGGCCCCAGATTTGTTTCTTCTTGGTACCGAAACACCTGAAAGCCAAAACCAGGCGGTTATTCTCAGGGTCATTTAACACTTGACAAGAACCGGAGAAATAACTATTCGAAGCATTGTGTATATGTTGAACACAAGACGAGGATCCGAAATAAATTCCCCACCCGTAATGTATCCATTACTTTTCCTAGATTAATCCTGTAAACCATTACGATATTTTCTTGATTTCATGCCATTGTAGCAGGCGCAAAAATGGCTTTGGTTTTGCACAATAACGTGCAGAGGCTTCGGCTTCGGCGTCGGGATTTTAGACTGATTTGGTTGGCTTTGGCTTCGCGTTCCCTACTTTTAAGGGTGCTTGCTTCCGCTTCGGCCTCGCGTTTACGAAGTTTAGAACCATTAGCTGCGGATTCGGTTTCGTGCCGAAAACACGAAACCTCTGGTTTTGTTCTCGGCTTTGCAGTTTCAGGCTTCGAAAGCACATGCTTTGACTCCGACTTCGGTTCCGTGTCATTGTCTTGGCTTCGGATTCGGATTCGGAACCAGTAGACTGGCTTTGTCTCCATACTTGGCGAACGACATCGACTAGAAACCTGTGGCTATTTGTGTTTTAACGTCGGTGAATGTTATAGAATCACTTAAGTCCCGCGGGATGCCTGATAATGCGTTACCTTCATACCAAGTGTTCAGATCGAGGCACAGTTTGATCTCCCGCGTGCACACTCGGTGGCAGTGGCGGCCATTGCACTGTGCGCAGGCAGCCACTTCCAGAGGTGAGGATCGGCGCGGATCTGCGTTCGACAGTCTGGTGTGGGGCAGCACCGACTATCGGAGCCGGGGTGCGGCCGTCGCCCCAGCGCCTCCCGCCCCCCCCCCCCCCCCCCCCTCCCTTTCCCCTCCCGGTCCGTGCCTGGCCGGCAGCGGCCGCAACCGGTCTGGCGGCGGGCCGCGCCGGCGCCGCCGCTCGGGCCTCGCGCCGTCCCAGCTGCGGCCGGTCGGCCCGCGCCGGCCCGATCACGGGACGGGGCGCTGGCCCGGTGTCCTCCGGCCACGAGAGCCGCCGTCGCAGGGCGGCCGCTCACCTGGAGCAGCAGCATGGGCAGCGGTCACGGCAGGAGGTGGCGAGGCCGTCAGTTGGCCTTCGAATTGTCCGTGGTCAGTTGGCCCTCGAGCTGCCCGTGGTCAGTTGGCCCCCGAGCTGCCCGTGGGCGTTGGTCCTCGAGCTGCCCGTGGTTAGTTGGCCCTCGAGCTGCCCGTGATCATTTGGCCGTCGAGCTGCCCGCGGTCAGTTAGCCCTCGAGCTGCCCGTGATCAGTGGGCCGTCGAGCTGCCCGTGGTCAGTTGACCCTCGGGCTGCCCATGGGCGTTGGTTCTCGAGCTACCCGTAGGACGTTAGTCCTCGGGCTGCCCGTGGTCAGTTGGCCGTCGAGCTGCCCGTGATCAGTGGGCCGTCGAGCTGCCCGTGGTCAGTTGGCCTTAGAGCTGCCCGTGGGCGTTGCTCATGCGGTTCCGGGGACATTCGACCGGTGACATTTGTCGCGGTGCTTGACACAGGTCCGGCTTACCCCGAAGCACGCGGTGCGCTGTCATCGGCGTCGCTATATTCACGCGCTGTGCAGTATCGCAGCTCGGTCGTATGTCGTGCCTCCGTTATTGTACAATGCAAATTACTGCATAGTGCTCGTTAGGTATGTGATTTACGCAGGCTTGCTGTAGCTGACACTATCCCGTGAAATGATGGCGTATGAGGTGTCCACATCTTTGAGCACAACGGAGGACCATTTTACGCGACCTCACAGATGGTCCGCTCGACGGTGTCGCTTGCTTAATGTTTAGCTTTGCTTGCTTGTGATGAGCGCAAGCTGAGTTAAAACAATGACGATGCTCGCACGACTCAGTTGTGTTTGTCATATGAATGCTAATCATGTTCTGTCTCCAAAATATCAAAACGCTGCATTCTCTTCAGCGTTTTTGCCAGCGTGCTTTCGGGACTCCGCGCGCCGCGAAATGAGTTAAATCAGGTTAATCAGGCTGGGAACGGGTTAAGTAAAGAAAATTCACCCTTGGTCATTGTTTCGTGAGAATCCATTGTCTCTCCCACTTTTCAAGATCGCTGAGCAATTGTTTTCTTGTCCGTCCGTTGAGCGGTGTTTTCCTGGTCCGTTTCTTCAGCCGCTGGCCGTTGCGCTCTCCCACTGCACACTCACGTCTGTGGACCGGCGCTGTGTACCGCGTGCAGCGGCGGGGATACACGCGTCACCCGCATCGGCCGGTCGAGTGCGGTACTGAGTTATGTGCACGTCACGGCCATTGGGTTCGACCCAATCGAGGACGCGATAGACCCAGGCCCAGGTACCGCCGCACACGGTGACGCGTCGGCGCGCCGCGGCGAAGGCGGTGGCTGCTGCCGGCCCGCCTCGAACGACTGGTCCGGCCTGCCAGCTGTTCCCCGGCGGGGGGGGGGGGGGGGGCGGGGGGCCGGGCGCGCGCCGGCCCGGCCGGACGGGCCGCGCACCTGTGGCCGGCAGCTGGGCGAGCGGTGGCGCGGCGCGCACCTGCGCGCCTGGCCGGCGCGGCGCGGCGCGGCGCGTGCCGCCAGTCGCCGACGGGCTGGCCCAGCTGGCGCGCGCGCCGACTCTGCGGCGGCGTGTGGCGCGCCGGCACGACCATGCAGATACGTGACGTGCCGTCGCCGTTCGCCTGGCCGGCCGCCATGGACGTACAGGAGGCGCTGCTGCAGGTAGGGCGGCCGGGCTCCCCTCGTGGCGATGCGGCTGCCGCTGGCAGTGTCGGCAAATCATTAGGCTTGGTTAGAACGACGGAAGTAAGATCGCTGGCGTGTAACTGATGTCGGTTGGCACAGTCCTGAACATGCATCTTTGAACTTGTTGCACATTGGTACGCGTATTGCGCGTGACGTGACTGCTTGACCATTCTTCACTAACCCAGAGCGTCATCGAGGCAAAGATACCTTGGGGTTATTGCGATGATTACATCAGGGTAACCCGTACTTTTTTACTTATCTCAAGCCCTTTTGGCTGAGGGGACTGGCGCAGGGCCGGTTGGCCGAATCAGACCATATTATTGTCATCACAGTGCGGCCGGGATTGCTACTTGTCGTCTTTTATTATACTGTTTTTATTCTCGACTTTTACACCATTGCATTATGCCCTGATATGCTCCTCAATGTGTAGCAATCATTTGGTGCTGGCGTGGGGATGCGGCGTCATTTTTTATCGAGAACTTTCGAGGTTTACTACAGGGCGAAGAGCTTAACGGAACCCGTCTGCTAGAAGTGTCTTATCTGTGAAGAGAGTGGTGTTGGTGGGGAACAGAAGGGTGATATGGTTTTGTCTTTCCCGCGGTACATTTTTGCATCGGAGCGGTGTTCGGGCTCCAGCCGAACCCTGCTAACAAAGGGATATATGGTCGGACGTGTTTTTGATAAACGTGAGGTTTTGCTGTGTGTATTTCTTTTTAACGAACATGAGGAGTTTGTTTATATTTTTCAACGTCCGCGAATTCTCGTCCAACAACACAAATCGATACGGCGTCCACACCCTTGGGGATTGTCGGTGTTATCCATTCGAGGTACTGAAATCGAGCCAATGCGGAGACTTTTGTTTCATCTCTGTGGTGTCTTGGCTCTCACAAGCCCGGGGGACTTGCCGTGAAGCTGGGTCTATTGCAGGGACGGTGTATCGGTGGACGAGCTGGACACGAATCACTGGAGCAAAGTTAAAACTTCTACTTCTACCTACCAGCGGGCAATTTCGTCGAGAGATCACTTGTTGGGGCAGTGGATGTTGTGCTTGATAAAACACTGACATGCGAATACATATTAAAATATTTTGAAAGCCCGTTTGTATTTTTCGTTCATTCTGACTTGAACAATATGCTGTTCAGCGAATGGGATAGCTTCCTGTGAACTGTTATAGTTACGCGTGCTACCTGTTGAGCAGCACACGAAGAAGGGCACGGCGCGAAGATTCGGTATATTTATGGTATGGCAGCACAGTCTGGCTTGGGCTAGGCTTTTTACGCTGTGTCCCTGGTTTCAGTTGCAGAACATTCAGAACGTGATCCGACTGAAAAAAGAGAATGTGGACGCCCTGAACGCCAAGTTTGCCGGGTTCCAGCACCCGCCTACCATGTACCTGCAGGTGAGCGTGCACCGGCGCCGGCACCGGCTCCGCGTCCCGCCCTCTCCCCTCTGCCCTCGTCATGACCTTTCCGTATTCCACTGCGTCTATCTTCTTCCCTTTATCTCTCCCTACACCCCCCCCCCCCCCCCCTGCCTCGCTGTTCATCTTTTGACCTGTTTATTCTCTCACATATCTTCCTCTCCCGCTGCTCCCCATGTTTCCGCAACATAAACACCCGTATGAGCACTATAAGGTCATATTTTTCAATGTGCGGTTGAGTGCCTATTCAGGTTATGATCACTGTGTAACCAGCGTCGTAAGCTCAATATCCTGCGACATGTTTATCTTGAAACAGCTGAATCTGCTGTATCGGCCGCAAATAATTTTACGGTCCGCGCGAGCTTTAATTCCAACCACACTCAAAGCAGCTGGAAAACGGTTTGCTCAGCGAGCCCCGACGGGCTATTGAACAGGCTATTATTGGCCCTACCATGCTCATTTCCAGCGTTGAAACGTAACAGACAATACGGTGTGCTGACAGTGCCTGTGTAGGCAGGTCTGCTGTCTACGCCGTGACCTTGCCCCGCTGTTCGGGGCCCGTGATGTTGTGCCCCTCTGACCCTGTCGCGCCCGTGTCCGTATCCGCACCGGCACTCATGCTCGTACCCGTACCCATACCCGTACCCGTACCCGTACCCGTACCCGTGCTTGTACCTGTACCTGTACCCGTACCCGTACCCGTACCCGTACCCGTACCCGTACCCGTACCCATACCCGTACCCGTACCCGTACACGTACCCGTACCCGTACCCATACCCGCACCCGTGCCTGTGCCCGTGCCCGTGCCCATGCCCGTACCTGTATCTGTACCCACACTTGTACCCATACCCGCACCCGCACCCGCACCCGCACCCGCACCCACACCCGTGCCCCTGTGACCGTGTCCGTGACCGTGACCGTGACCGTGTCCGTGACCGTGACGTTCATTGCGCCGCAGGAGTACAACGAGCTGACGCACAAGCTGCACGAATTCGAGGCGCGCCGACAGGAGCTGCAGGAGGCGATCGCGCGGGGCGGCGCTACCACCAACGGCGGCGGCGAGCCGGTGGAGCGCGGCGGCGCCGGTGAGTGGCGCTGCTGGTACCAGCAGCCCGCTGGCCGGCTCTGGCGGCCTGCTGGTGTCCGGCTGGCCCACCACTACGTAGGTGGAGGGAGGGGGGGGGGGGGGAGCATGCAGCGCAGCACACGCACGCCACAGATATACTGGTGAGCGTGGCTGCGGTGTATCGGTGCGAACCGGCATAAGCCAGCCTGGTCGCTACTATGGGGCTGGAGCTGACGGCGGCGTTGAAGTCGGCGCGGTGCACCGTTATTTCATAATCCTGCCGTGTCATTAAGTAGGGGCGCATCGTACACCAACATCACGGCGCGTGGCTCTGTCACTGCAAGGTCGACCAACGAGTTCTGTTCAGTCGTCTTCAGATGCGCATTTTCGGTTGGACTCCAACCCCGCCAACCTGGTTGAGATGCAGGAGATAATTTTAACAGCGAGTTCTGATAATTGTAAAGTTCTTTGTAATGTGATGCCAAAGCCGCATGTGGCGAATGTTTTTGTTTGTTGTCACGCCGCATTAGCGATGTTTGTACACCGGCGTTCGCCTCTCACCACCCGGAGATAGCACATGGACACGCTTCGCACAGCCGCACGCGGCCATGCCACGGGAGGATTGCTTAGGATGAAGAGGTACGAGCCAGCACAACGCAACAGCCCGCTGACGCACCCACTATCAAACATCTATTCGTTCACACAACTTCGTCAAAAACAAAAGTAGTCGAAATTTTCAAAGCATCGGTGTGGTGGTGAAACCCCGCCGCCGAGTCCCCCAGGCGACATGGCCAGGTATGGCCTGGGTCATGGGTGATGACTGAGTGCGCTGAATGGCGGTAGTGGTGGCGGAGAGGATGACCGCCTCGCCCGGTTCCGCAGGCGGCGGCGCCAGCTGCGTCTCGCCGGCGCCGGTGCCGCCGTCGCCCATGAAGGCCTTCATCCGGGCGCATCTGCCCAACCAGCAGCGCACCAGCGTCACCGTGCGCTACGGCGTCACCGTGCGTGAGGCGCTCTCCAAGGCCATGAGTCTGCGCAAGCTGACGCCGGAGACGTGCGTCGTGTACCAGTGCTCCAATCCGCAGGTGAGCGGCTCGGCTCGGCGCGGCGCCGGCGCTCGGGCCACGCCCGCCCAGGCCGCAGCCGACCTGGGCGGGCCGGTCGAGAGCAGAGCTGGCGTCACCAGACAGCACCGCAGCGTGTCGCTTGCTCCACTTCACTGGAGCGAATCCGAAGGGCAGTGGCTAATCTCCATGCAACAGCACTCAGTCAAGGGTGTTAACTAATGCTCCGCTGTAAGTTGCCTGTGTGCTTCGCGAACGCCATGCCCGGGCCTCACTGTTAAAGCTATTGGTGACGCGATAAGTTCGCTTTTTCTCCGACAACGTGCGGGGACACATGGGCGTTCGATTTCTAGCGAATCGCTTTCGTCGGGCTCTGGTGCCGCGCGTTAGGGGACATCTGTGCCTGTTTGTCAGTGGTCTTACACCGCTCGCAGGTGTCGGCCAGCGGTCGGTGCCTTCTCGGTATGTCTGGCACGGTTATTATCATTATTATCGTTAACAGTTGAACGCTGTTAGGACAAAAACCTCAACGCCTGACCATCTAGCGTGCGGCCGAGTCCAAAGTTATTTGATGCAAAAGGTTAAATTTGTTCTGGTCGTACCTTGTGTGCCCAAAGCCAACCTCACACGATGCAATGGCGTTCTTGAAGCGTGTTTGTTGTCGTGTCTGTCGCCCGCGGCCCGGCGCGACCGAACTGCTTACGCTGACCTCTAGGATTACACCGACACTGATGCGGGGCCTCCGCCGCTCGCAGACCCAGATCGCATGGGATGCCGACATCACCTCTCTGGACGGCGACGAGATCCGGGTGGAGGTCAACCACAAGATCCCCGTCACCACCAGCATCTCGCACAACTTCGTTAGTGGCCGGGGCGGGGTGGGGTGGTGTCTGCTGTCTGGCCCCAGTGCCTTGGACCCGCCCGCAGTCCGACCGGGCAGACCTGATCACGGTCTTCTCTTTGTGACGACGTCAGTCGTGCCATTGCAACCATCCAGCTGACGTCTGCCCCTGGAGACGCGCAGGTGACCCGGAGGACGGCCGCTGGTGGGTGACTGATCCCAAAGCACAGCCCGTTCTCAGGGCGGGACGCATCCCGTCCAAGAGTGCCGTCTCCAGTCCGGTTGGGACGAGTCGTCTGCCACTCGGCAGCGTTACGCAAGTGTCCTGTACCTCTCCGCTGGGCGTCAGTGTCCGGTGTGACCCGCTGGGCGCCAGTGTCCGGTGTGACGCGATGTGCACTAGTGTCCGGTGTGACCTGCTGGGCGTCAGTGTCCGGTGTGACGCGATGTGCGCCAGTGCCCGGTGTGACCCGCTGGGCGCCAGTGTCCGGTGTGAGCCGCTGGGCGTCAGTGTCCGTTGTGACCCGCTGGGCGTCAGTGTCCGGTGTGTACCCGGCTGGGCGTCAGTGTCCGGTGTGACGCGATGTGTGCCAGTGTCCGGCGTAACCCGCTGGGCGTAGTGTCCGGTGTGACGCGATGTGCGCCAGTGTCCGGTGCGACCCGCTGGGCGCCAGTGTCCGGTGTGACCCGCTGAGCGCCGGTGTCCGGTGTGACACGCTGGGCGCCAGTGTCCGGTGTGACGCGTTGTGCGCTGGTGTTCGGTGTGACGCGCTGGGCGCCAATGCCCGGTGTGACCCGCTGGGCGTCGGTGTCCAGTGTGACCCGCTGAGCGCCAGTGTCCAGTGTGACCCGCTGGGCGCCAGTGTCCGGTGTGATCCGCTGAGCGCCAGTGTCCGGTGTGACCTGCTGGGCGTCAGTGTCCGGTGTGACCTGCTGGGCGTCAGTGTCCGGTGTGACGCGATGTGCGCCAGTGTCCGGTGCGACCCGCTGGGCGCCAGTGTCCGGTGTGACCCGCTGAGCGCCGGTGTCCGGTGTGACACGCTGGGCGCCAGTGTCCGGTGTGACGCGTTGTGCGCTGGTGTTCGGTGCGACGCGCTGGGCGCCAATGCCCGGTGTGACCCGCTGGGCGTCAGTGTCCGGTGTGACCCGCTGAGCGCCAGTGTCCAGTGTGACCCGCTGGGCGCCAGTGTCCGGTGTGATCCGCTGAGCGCCAGTGTCCGGTGTGACCTGCTGGGCGTCAGTGTCCGGTGTGATCTGCTGGGCGTCAGTGTCCGGTGTGACGCGATGTGCGCCAGTGTCCGGTGTGACCCGCTGTGCGCCAGTGTCCGGCGTGACGCGCCGTCACCGGCACCGCACCGCCAGCCTTAAACTCGCCCGTCCTCTGTCAGGTGCGCAAGACGTTCTTCCCGATGGTGTTCTGCAGCAGCTGTCGACGAATGCTGTTCACCGGCTTCGTGTGTCGCTCGTGCGACTACAAGTTCCACTCCAATTGCTCGGCCAAGCTGCCGCCGCTCTGCCAGTCCGGTGCCAACGCCAACAACGTCTACCAGCAGTGAGTGGCCGCCGTCTGCGGCGGGTGCACGGCGACGGGCTGCCCGTCGCCTCGCTGCAGAGCCCAGTTCAAAAGCCGGTACATCTGGCACCTGTCACCGATCGGGTCAGCGCCTCTCGGCCAGCGGTGCTGAGTTTTTGATCTGTCGTGCACTCTGACCTCGCAATCGCTGGCATCGTCGGCACGATTGTCTGCCGGGGCGGGCTCGACCGAAAGGCTTGGTACGTGCAATCAGCCAATCGTCCGTTATGTCGTTACATGATGGCATCTCCCCGGCCCGCTCCGCAACAAAGACGGCGGTGATCGCTGGTATGGCGCTATTCGGCTGTCACGTGTGTCTTGGCTGTGGCGTAACTACCTGGATAGCTACAATCAATGATCGGGCCCGAATGGCGCTCTCCACACTGTTGTCAAGATCCAGCGAAGGAAGCTGGAGTGCTCTGCTCCACTGTCGGTTTTTGCCGAGGGGCTTATAAGCTGCGGACAGGACTGAGACGGCGGATGGTGTAAGCTTAGGTCGATAGGGCACTGCAGCATCGCAGATAAGTGCGCGAGTGTTGCGGGGTAAAAGGGCGACGGGCCGTTGAGCCGGCGACGTGGCCTGGTGCAAAGGAAACCACCTGTTGCTCGGTGGGATTACCTGTGTCGTAGATCGCCGCTGGGTCCCTGAGCTTGAACTGGCCTCGATGCAACATGCAAGCGTGTTGGCCGACGTCCAAGCCAGGGAGCTGGACGCCGTGCCCAGTTTCGGTGCACATCGCAGCGTGTGACGTCATGGGGCCGATCGCCGTCGCAATGGCCTGCCACTCAAGTCTGACACATCCAGCCGCGCATGATGCTATTGGGAATGCCTGGCCGGCCGGCGCTATTGTCGCGGCCGCCGCGTCACTTCAATGGCGTCGCCGCCCGGCCGGCCAGACCGCGTCGCTTTCGCCGGCGGTGCTCGCCCAAATTAATCGCGCGCCTGTCCGCCGCGCCTGACGTCACCGGGTCCGTTCCAGCCTGCTGGCCAACAACTCCGCCGGCATCCTGTACGCGCCGCCGTACGGGGCGCGGTGCGTGCCCGGCCGGCGCGGTGACCCCCGTCTGCCTGGCGCCGCGCCGCTGGCAGCTCGCGAACGCAGCACCTCGGCGCCCAACGTCAGCAACCACGTGGACCCGACGGCTATCAGCGTGGAGCAGCTGCGTCGCGCCTACCCCGGTCAGTGGACGTCCGACCCGCGCGCGGTCATGCACGCCCCTACGTCAGTGGTAGTTGGCTGAGTGGTGTATCGGTTCGCCCCGGCGCCGCCCGCCACCCGCCCATCGGAACGGGTGGCTTGTTGACGAGCGGCGCGAGCCACTCGATCGCTTGCGTCACGCCGCCGGTCGATGGGCGTGTTTTGAGCGTGGCAGTGGGGCGGCACGCGAGCGATCGTGTTTTGCCTGCCGCCGTGTGACCTAGGCAGCCGCGCTAGGCCTGTTGTGGTGTGGTACTATCTCTTGCATGTGGCGTGGGTGATGGAAAACTGCTGCGTGACCAACTCTCGATCCTGCAGATTAACAAATCATGCTAACACACATGCACATACGCCCTCACACGCCAACGCATGGTCGTGCGTTCGCACATCCGCACGCATCGTTCGTGTAGTCGGTGTCGGGAGCATGGCTGGTGGAGGCGCCGGTCGGCCGCCGGCGCTAACCCAGCGCCGGTCAGGTGTGGTCGCCGAGTCGGCAGAGCGCGGCGGCCGCTCGCTGCTGGCCGGCCTGCTCACCACGCCGCGCCAGGCTCGCCGCGTCCGCGCCGCCGTGCCCGCTCCGGCGCCGACCGGGCCCGGCCGCCGCCGCAAGTACGCCACGCTGGACCGGCCGACGCGGCGCGCGGCCAAGTGGCCGCTGTTCGCCGTCAATGGTGGGTGTGCACCGTCCGCGGTCCGGAGAGCAGAGGCCGGCGACGGCGCGGCGCACGTGTCGCCTTCGTTGCGGCACCCTTAGCTGTCGCATGCTCGGTGTCGGTGCATGCGCGTGCCTGCTGTGGTTAAGGCGGGGGGGGGATGGCCGGGGGGGGGGGACTATCGCAGCGACTGACGCGTGCCGGCTAGTCCGGGCGGCCGGCGCGGGGAGGCGTGCCGGCAGCTGACGCGTCCCGTCTGGCGGTGCTACAGGTCCGGGCGCGGCGCTGGTGCCTCCCGCCTCGCAGGCGCACTCGTCGCCCTCCTCGTCGCCGACCAAGCTCTCGCACTCGCACTCGCACTCGGCGCACGGCTCGCCGACGTCGATCCACCGCGGCACGCGGCCGCGCGCCCGCTCCGCCGACGAGTCGAGCAACAAGAAGCTCGACAAGAGCCGCGTGCGCGAGTCATTCGACGATTGGGAGATCTCCTGGGAGGAGATCCTCATGGGCAGCAAGATCGGTTCTGGCTCGTTCGGAACGGTGTACAAGGCGCACTGGCACGGACCGGTGGCCGTGAAGATCCTCAATGTCAACGACCCGAGTCCGGCGCAGCTGGCCGCCTTCAATAACGAGGTGGCCGCGCTCCGGAAGACCAGGTGGGTGGCGCGTTGCGGGTGCACAGCCGGGCACGGTCGGGCTGAGGCGGAAATCCCGTGGTGACCCTGCGGGGTGGTGTGATAGGGATGGAAACTCTATGTGCGAAGGGCGTGGGTGTTTGGATGGACGCAAAAGCGATCGTGGGTAATTGCTTGTCCGGAATCGCCTGCAGCCTCGTGCAGATCGGCTTCATCCGAATGGCCTACGGTGCTCAGCTTCAGTTCAGGCGACGAGCGCGTTTCTCGTGTGTGGCCTGTCAGCGTTTGGTCGCCCTCTGTGCGACGGCCGAGCCGGGCCGGGCGACAGACGTGGAGAGCGGCCGGTGACGCGTCCGCTGCCGCTGCCCGCAGGCACGTCAACATCCTACTGTTCATGGGCTGCGCGCGCCGGCCCAACCTGGCCATTGTGACGCAGTGGTGCGAGGGTTCCAGTCTCTACAAGCACATCCACGTCAACGAAACCAACTGGGAGCTGGGTGCCAAGCTGGACATCGCCCGCCAGACGGCCTGCGGCATCGAGTGAGTGTGGCCGGGCGGCGGGACTGCCGGCGCTCCCGGCTGGCGGCCTTGTGTGGCCCTGCCGCTCCCGTCCGGCGGCCTTGTGTGGCCCTGCCGCTCGGGTCTGGCGGGCCTTGTGTGGTCCTGCCGCCCCTGTGGCCCTGGCTCTCCCGTCGCTCCCGGCTGGCGGCCTTGTGTGGTCCTACCGATCCCCTTCGGCGACCTGGTGCGGCCCTACCGATCCGGTGAGCGGGCCTTGTGTGACCGTAACGCTATGGTCTGGCGGGCCTTGTATGACCCTACCGCTCGGGTCTGGCGGGCCTTGTGAGGCCCCACCGTGGTCCTACTGTGTGCTGACTGCTGGATTCGTACGTGGCCTTCATGATGTGGTGAGGGTACTGTTCACGACACGTCACGTGTCGGCAGGGGATTATTTTTTGAAAAAGTATGGTGAATGACTCGAGCGAGCGTAGGTGTTGTGTGTGAGACCTGGGTGGATGTGTGTGTGTGTGTGTGTGTGTGTGTGTGTGTGTGTGTGTGTGTGTGTGTGTGTGTGTGTGTGTGTGCGTGCGTGCGTGCGTGCGTGCGTGCGTGCGTGCGTGCGTGCGTGCGTGCGTGCGTGCGTGCGCGCGCGTGCGTGCGTGCGTGTGGGTGTGGGTATGTGCGGGTGTCGCGGGTCAGGTCGCCTCGCTGGTGGGTTGGTGGCGTGGCGTGACGTGCCGGGCCTCGCCGCGCAGGTACCTCCATTCCCGCGACATCATCCACCGAGATCTCAAGTCCAACAACATCTTCCTGCATTACGACAGCACGGTGAAGATCGGTGACTTCGGCCTGGCGACGGTCAAGACCCGATGGTCGGGGAACCAGCAGGCGCAGCAGCCGACAGGTGAGCCGGGCCGAGCCGGCCGGGCCGGGCCGGGCCGGGCCGGGCCGGGCCGGGCCGGGCCGGGCCGAGCCGAGCCGAGCCGGGGACGCCGTCGGCCGCGCGGCACGCTTACGTGCGGCTGGTGGCGCTCAGCCTGGCTGAAACAGACACTGGCAACGGGCCGGCAGGAAACCGTGCAAGGGGCCACTGATTGTGCGTGCTGTATTGAACATTCTTGAAGTGTGCTGAATGTTCTGGCACAACGATGGGATGCTTTTGCAAATGCATTGCATGCAAAAGGGATGCACGTATTCGCCCAGCCGCCATTCTGAAATCTGATAACTCCGAATTATCTTGATGTGTTCTTCGTACCTGAACCGATGTGGTGGCCCTCCACACGCTTTGCGGGGTGGGAGAAGTGTTGATGGACTTGGCTCGGCGACCTCGCGCCGTTCATGCCTGTTAACTGCGGACCAGATCGCGTTACTGTCGGGGCGCGCCCTAGGCCACGCATTGGGATGCTGCTGCGGTCGATGCCGAGCCTGCGGCTCGAGCGCAGCCCCGTAGCCCCCCCCCCCCTCCCCGCCCCCCTGCCCAGGCACCATCGGCTGCCTTCTGACTGTTGCCGGTCTCCAGGGAGCATCCTGTGGATGGCGCCGGAGATCATCCGTATGAAGGAGGAAAACCCGTACTCGTTCCAGAGTGATGTCTATGCCTTCGGCATTGTGTTGTACGAACTGTTCGCGTGTGAACTACCGTACACGCACATCAACAACAAGGACCAGGTGCGGCTGGGCAGACTGTCGAGCGGGCAGTGTTCGCAGAGGGAGGGAGGAGAGAGAGAGAGAGAGAGAGAGAGAGAGAGAGAGAGAGAGAGAGAGAGAGAGAGAGAGAGAGAGAGAGAGAGAGAGAGAGAGAGAGAGAGAGAGAGAGAGAGAGAGAGAGAGAGAAGAGAGAGAGAGAGAGAGAGAGAGAGAGAGAGAGAGAGAGAGAGAGAGAGAGAGAGAGAGAGAGAGAGAGAGAGAGAGAGGAGAGAGAGAGAGAGAGAGAGAGAGAGAGAGAGAGAGAGAGAGAGAGAGAGAGAGAGAGAGAGAGAGAGAGAGAGAGAGAGAGAGAGAGAGAGAGAGAGAGAGAGAGAGAGAGAGAGAGAGAGAGAGAGAGAGAGAGAGAGAGAGAGAGAGAGAGAGAGAGAGAGAGAGAGAGAGAGAGAGAGGAGAGAGAGAGAGAGAGAGAGAGAGAGAGAGAGAGAGAGAGAGAGAGAGAGAGAGAGAGAGAGAGAGAGAGAGAGTTTTAGTGTGCTTCGTGTTGATTGGCGTAAAGTCATGGGGCGCTGTAAAGGAAGGAACTTCGCATAGTCTTTCTTCGAATGTCTTGCTGATTGTGATTTAGGCCTTAGGACGCGCCTGGTCGCCTGGTCGTGTGGCACCCAATTTGAATGTTTTAAGTGAGGTTTTCAATTGTCCAGAATGAGGGTGCATTCAGGGCACCATGAAGCTGGCTCGTGTCGCAAATCCAGTGTTGGAAATCTCATTTCAGATTCTGTTCATGGTCGGCATGGGTTTTCTGAAGCTGGACCTGAGTCACCTGAATTCGGACTGCCCAAAGCTGATGAAGAAACTCATCACAGAATGCATCAGCTTCAAGGCCACCGTACGGCCTCTCTTCAGACAGGTGGGCTCATTGGAATAAGTGTTGTGTTG